ACACACAGACAACCTCTCGTCAATATGCATTTTCTGCATTGCATAGCTGCAAAAAACGCATAAAAACAGACGGTGACGAGAGGCTCGGTAAATAACTTCGTGTCCCGACCTCTTTCCACTCTCATGCGGCCCTAAATTTTCAAGCCCAGATTTGGGGCCCACATCCCACGTACGAGTATGTAGGGATCTTACGGAAAATTATCTAACTTTTCCAATTAACAGTTTTTCTTTCGAGTGAATGTAATGGAATGATCGTACACAGATTACAGAAACTTGTCTTTACTGATATGCGGCGCTGATTAAACACAGTTACTTTAGACGCTCTACAATAATAATAGATGGCAGCGCACCGACTGCCGGTGCGAAGATATAGTCCTCGAAGACATGCGAAGACATAGTCCCCGCATGTTTTTGTCGCTAACTGCACCGCTTTTTCCAGCTAAGATAATTGAGACTAGTCACCAAAACTGTCTGAAAAACATTTCTTTAAAATTTCAGCTTCCTATCTTTCCCGGTGAACTCTTCTACCGTTACCATGCAAAAAGTCCCGCAAGTTACGGTGCGCCAGTACCAAGCCAGTACCTTACCCGCAAAAAACAGGAACCGCACATACCCAGAGGCTAGTTTTGAGTTCATGGACGAGTAACATCCCCTTAAAATTCCTGTCTTCTAGCTCCTCAAGTTCCCGAGTTAATTTACCGGAGAAAAATTTTGGTAGGCCCGTATGTGGGTACCATGCGGGTAAGAGCGTCCATTTTGGAGATGGAAGCCCGTACACGCATGCAGGTTAATTTTCCAAAGTTTCAGCCCTGTGGCTTTGTAGGTCTCGCGATGAAAAATCGGTACAGACAAATACACAGACAACGTCTTGGTCAGTATTTGCATCTATGCAGTGCAAAAAAATTTTATAAAACTGTGAAGTTTTGCGCATAACTGTACTTTATAAAAGTTTAAAATATGTATTTATGTATTTCGCTTTTTCAGGGTAGCAATAAATGTATGAATGATTTTCTTATCTTATCCAGGGATGGATCGAGGACGGATTTTCGAATGCTTTCAAGATAATAAGTATGTTTTGTTCAAAAATTTGCCCTGTATGTTTAATGTATCTGGGCTGTTCTCACTGACCGAACAGGAGAAAATACAATTTATTATTTCAGAATCATTTGACTTGTTCTAAACTTTTATAAAACACAGCTGAGCGCGCAGTAGAACGGCAAAAGCATAAGTTATATGCACAGTTATATCACGAATATCAAATCTTGAATACAAATTTCGGAAAATGATAAAATTGATATACAAATAATTGGCCAACGCACGGGCTGCCGGTGCGAAGATGCGTCTTTTGCATAGCTTCCCGCAGTTTTTGTCGCTACAGGCACCGGTTTCTCCGGCAAGTGCTTCTAGTTAAGCAAATTAAGACTGGCCGCCAGAACTGTCAGGGAACACCCTCTCAAAAACTCAGCTTTCTAACTTTCTACTTCCCTGAGTTAGCAACTTACTAGAAAAGAAACTTTGGTGGGTCCATACGTGGGTAACACCCACACCTGGTGTCTGGTTTTGAGCTCATTAACACCAACTTGGATGGGGAACATCCCCTCAAAATTCCAACCTCTAGTTCCCCAGGTTCTCGAGTTAGCTGCATAACCAAAAAAAAAAAAAATATCATGGACCTGTACGTGGGAACCACATATAACCGTGGGCTGGGTTTGAGCTCATTAATACCTACATGGGTGGGGAACGCTCTCTTAAAATTCCAGTCTTCTAGCTTTTCAGGTTCCCGAGTTGGCGACTTACTCGCAAAAAACTTTCACAGGTTCGTACGTGGGTACCACGCGGGTAAGACCGCCCATTTTGGAGATCAGGGCCCGTATGCGCATGTAGATTAAGTTCCAAAGTTTCAGTCCTGTAGCTGGATCTCGAGATGAAAAATTGTTACAGGCGCACAGCGCGCGCGCACACACACACACAGACAGACAACCTTTCGTCGATGTGCGTTTTTTGCGTTACGTAGCTGCAAAAAAACGCATAAAAAGTAACTTCTTCGGAGTTTTCATAAAGGACTGCCGCAAGATTTTACAACCAAGGATCGATGAGAAGGAAAGAAGCAAGGTAGAAGGAGGTGTGACAGTCTCGGATACAACGGTGATACCAGATACCTGACGGTAATACCATGGTGATACGACTGTGAATATACTGTGCCGTGGATGAATATACGTCTGTGAATATACGCCTTCTATATACGTCTTCTATATATACGTCCTACGTAATATACGTCTTGTTAGTCGCGCAACGCCGCAAACACAGCCAGCTGACCGCCTTCGAACCGGCAGTAGTGGTGTTCATTTCATTTGGCTGTTCATCGGTCCTGGCGGGGGCATCAACCGCTTTTTTGCCATTTCCCTGAGATTCATCAAGATCGAAAAGGTTTTCAGGCTAGAAAATTCGGTGTTATCGAAATGCAGCCAGCTGTTAACCATGCACTTATTTTACAGCACAGAGAAGAACACATATTATCATAATTGCCGTAAAAGTCCAGAATAACTCTACTGTACATCAAAGCTATGTCC